ATGTGCTGATGAGAAGAATGAATATTCTGAGGTTGTTGGGTGGAATGTTCTGTAGATATCTTTTAAGTTGATTATAAAAAGAACCCTACAGTAAGGCCAACTATAATTATTTTCTAGCATATTTTCTTCAAAGTTACTTTTACTGTATAAAGTTAATTTAAAACTTTTGTCTTAGGTATAATATTCTCATATGAAATCCTCATGTATTTATTTAATGATGTTTTGAGAATTAGTAAGTTACATTAATTAACAGCTTACTGGGATGACAAATTTTAAGCTTTGCACATTTTGGTTTTTATTAGGATTAAACACTTTCCCAGTTCAATCCATAAAGAACATGATATGTATTATTACATGATATAAAGTATAGTAGGATATAAAACTATTTACCAACTAAGGTAAATTCTAAAACAGATGGCTTGTTTATTACTCTCAAATAAATAAATATCAATATAATAAGATACAAGTAACTATAAAAAGTGGATAATAACAAAAATATACAGACAGTGCTCATTATTGGTATTTCCTTAATGTATGTGGTTTATAAAATTCTGATATGATCAAACTTAAAGTTGTTACAGCATTTACAAATGTGTAAATAGAGAAAATGTTCCTAAATACACTTCTTAGTGGACAGCAATCTAAAGTAGCAACATTTTTATTAAGCTACAAAAATATTTTGATATTTACTATTTATAGTATATCTTATAAAGAACAGTTTAGGGTATAGTTCTACTTTAGTGTGATAGTTGGTGATATCATAAACATGAAACCATCTTTTTCAAACTTTATTTGCAACCCACTGGAGAATTAGAAATTTAAATTGGCAGATTGCAACAGGGGTTTTTATTTTATTTTATTAAACTGAAAAGGATAAAGTAGGATTAAAATACAAAATATCATGTAAAAGGGTTATTAATAAAACATTTAAGTTATATACACAAGTATGTATACGTATATATGTATATATAAATACAGTATACATATTTGTGTATATATTGTATGTGTACATGCATATTCAAACAGTAAACATATGGGTGTACACACAGAAAGTTATACATAAAATTATACAAGTCTGAGTACAGAATTGCAATATAATTTTTTTTCACCATGGGTCTTGGTCACCAAAGTGTGAAAGACACTGAAAAATAAATTTATTTTATTCTTGTTTTAGGCTGTATGAAAGGTTGTTGGGTAATAACCAACTCTGTGGAGTCTTTTGATCACTTAAAATGAAGTTGAAGAGTCTAAAATATATCTACTGTGAGAAATATTGGTATATATTTCTTTGAAGTATAACCGAAATGACGCTAAAAGACAAAGCAGAACAAAATATTTCTGACTTACAACATGAAAACATTAAATAGTAGTGAAAAAAATGAATTCTTAACAGCAGAACCACTTCCCATCCAGAAGTATTAGGCACCCCGATATGATCACTGCACATAGTAAGTATGTACTCAATATCATATTGTACTCCATAAACATAAACAATTATCATGGGTCAATTAAGAAAAAGAAAAAGAAAAAGAGAGGGATAGAGAGTAGAACAGTGGTTACTAGAGGCAGGAAAAGGGAGGGAAGAGGGGGTATGGGGAGAGGCTGGTAGACTGGTAGAAAGTTACAACGTTACAGTTAGATAGGAAGAATATATTTTGGTGCTCTAGGGTCACAATAGCTAATAATATTGTATTATTTATTTCATGACAGCCAGAAAAGAGCATCTTGAATGACATTACCACAAAAAAAAGATAAATGTTTAGGTGGTAGACATGCTAACTATTCTTATTGGATCATTATACAATATATGCAACAAACTGTACCCCATAAAAATGTACAATGAAAAATAAAATAAATAAGATAGTTAGAAGAAAAAAAAAGAAAAGAAAAAAATTCTTCACAGAAATAATGTCAGAAAAAAAAAAAAGGATTGGTGTGTGAGAGGCATTGCTACCAACCATATTCTATTGCAGCTTTGAGCAATGCTTCAGCATGAGTGGAGCCAAATGCATTACGAACAAATCGCCTCCTTCGACGAAGGTCATCTTCCCAGTAATCCAAACGCCAGAAATCATGCAATTGGCTAAGAATGGGAAAATAAAGAAACAGTAATCACTATTAATAGCAATGCATAACTGGAAATATAACATTGTTTTTCCATAAAATTAAAGCTTTATTTATTTAGTCTCATTGGAAAATTAAATGATTTTTTGGGATATTTATATTTTATACTTGTGTTTGTATACATATTTTTCCCTTACAAATAAACAAAACTTAAAATAGTAACATTCTCATATTTTAGGCTTTATAACACTCAGCTCTGCCTTTTTTTTTTTTTTACAATGTTCTTCCTTCTACTAAAAACATTAATATGGGGAGTTTAGCAACAAATGCAGTATCCAATTACAAGTATTAATGACACAGTTTGCTTTCTTTTACACTATTTTTAACAAGGCTTGTAAATCACAGGATAGACGCCACTACAAAGAGTTTGCAATTTAATGACTATGGTTACTTAGTAGACTGAATTAAGAAGTATAAAATATTGCCATTTGGATTTATGGAACAATGATTAAAATAACATGCTGAAATATTCATTGAAATAATTCCCTGCTGCCCACAGCAACCTGAGAAAAGTGCGATTTTATCCATTATTAATAATACTAAATTAGAGCTGCAAAAAATTCCAGTACATGTAATTGTCTTGGTAAATCATCACTCTAATGCTAACAGAGAAGATTTTACAGCTTTCAGCTAATATAAACCATCAACAACCATGGCTATCATTGGGTAACATTGTCTTTTATGCTTTAAAACAATATTAAAAATCTATGAGATATTTCAGAGGCTACTGAAATATGTTCATTGTATATCCAATGAAACATTTCATGACATGATTTTTGTTTTCAATTTAATTTCAATTAACATTGGTTGATTTTTCTGTATACAGTGTTTGGAGTAATATATAATATTCTAATTTTTCTGAGCAGTACTATTCATAAAAACATTTAAAATGCTTTCATAGAAGATTTGATTCCATTTTTTATTTTGATATTTTATTGTAGGAAAACACTTTAAGTTTGATTAAGGCAGGATTTGTATATATTTTGCTCATTATTATATCTTCAGCACCATGTCTGAAACATAATGTTTTTAATAAACATTCAATGAATTAAAACTTTTTTTTACTTCAAAAGATTTTCATGCGAAAAATTATTTAATTTTGAAAAGCATTTTATATTTTATGGCTATATGATTTTGTTATGTATAACTCAATTGTAAAAAAAACACAATGTAGGGCCGGCCCGGTGGCGCACTGCTATAGTGCGCCGCTTGAGAGCGCGGCGGCGCTCCCGCCGAGGGTTCGGATCCCACATACAGACCGGCCGCTCACTGGCTGAGCGAGGTATGGGTGCAACACCAAGGGTTGTGATCCCGTTGCCGGTCCCGGTCCGGTACGGGCGCGACACTGAGGGTTGCGATCCGTTGCCGGTCACGAAAAAAGACAAAAAGAAAAAAAAAAAAAAACACAATGTAAGGAATATTTAAAAAGTATTAAAATTATAAGCATTTGAAGTATATTTTAAAGTACTTATTCTTTCTGTACATCTTTACAATAACTTTATTTTTTTCATTAAAATAATGATTACCTGATTAAAAATGGTAATAAATAGTGTATCTCTGTGACTAGTTTAAAAACAGGATAATTTCTATCCTTACAAATACAGGCTAATCCCAGTGGTTTAATGAAGATTTTCCTTAAAATTATGTTAAAATTAAGTAATTGAATTCCTGAGGAGAGATCAGAAATCTAATGCTATCCCAAATTTCTCACCATAGACATACTTTTCCTTATTTCTCCCATTAAGTGCAACTGAACAATTCTGGACATTATATATAAAACAAATACAAGAAGACTCTGAAAGGTGAAGAGAAGGCAGACTGGCTAAGAACCTCAGGACCTAAAGAATAACATAGTGATGAATTCCCTTTGCCTCATATGTCCCAGACTGGGAGGCAAAGAAGTCAGCAACCCAAATAGGCCAACAGGTGCAGACATTAAAAAAAAAAAAAAAGCCCTCCAAAAAGCCTACTCTCTCACTCTCTCTAGCCAAAGGACCAAGAAGTGGGCAGCCGAGCAAGATGGAAAACTTTCAGATGACAACTGCTGTATTCCAGCCAAACATCACAGTAAAACCATGACCCCACCCCACCCAAACCAGCAAAGGATGTGTGGGGAGCCTAGACGTACACCCTCATGGAGGTGTAAAGAGGTGTCCCAACACCCTCACTAGGATGGTATTAGAGAAGGTCAAGTAGGGAGCCGGGACTTTCAGTTCTGTTGACTGGTAAAAAGGTGGCCCACCCACATGGAGACAGTGGAGACCATGTGGACAGCCTGGATTTCTACCCCTCATTGAACAGGAATGAAGAATTCCTCCCCCGCCCCACTGGGGTGCTGTCAGAGGAAGCCTAGTAGAGAGTCAGGACTTTCACTACTGACCAACAGCAATGAGGACACCCCCACCAGAGAACACCACATGAAAAGCTGGATGTCTCATTCCCACCAAACAGAAAGGAGGAGACCCTAACTCCTTAGCCCCACTGGGGTGCTGTCAGAGGAAGCCTAGTAGAGAGTCAGGACTTTCACTACCGACCAACAGCAATGAGGACACCCCCACCAGAGAATACCACATGAAAAGCTGGATGTCTCATTCCCACCAAACAGAAAGGAGGAGACCCTAACTCCTTGGGTTTCAATGGAGGCCAAGTGGGGAACGTAGATTTCTACCACCTGACAGTAACTAGGCAGTGCCCCCTCCCCTTTCCCTGATGGAACAATGTCAGAGAAAGCCAACTAAAATAGAGGTTTAAATGAGATAAAATATCTCAGAGCATAATAAGAAAACGTTTAGGTTTTAATCTAAAATCACTTGTCATACCAAGAACTTGGAAGATCTCAAATAGATTGTAAAAAGATCACCAATAGATGCCATTACTGAGATAAAAGGGATGCTAGAGTTTCTTGGCAAATGATTTAAAGCAGCCATGATTTAAAAAAATGCTTCAGCTAGCAATTATGAACATGCTTGAAATGAATGAAATAATAGAAAGCATCAACAAAAAAACAGAAAGTCTCAGCAAAGAAACAGAAGACGTAAGGAAGAACCGAATGGAAATTTTAGAACTGGCAAATACAATATAACCAGAATAAAAGCTCAGTGGATAAGCTCAATAGCAGAATGGAAGGAGGGAAGAATCAGTTGACTGCAAGATAGAGCAATAGAAATTACCCAAATTGAGTTACAGGGAGGAAACAGACAGAAAAAATAAATGAACAGGGATCTGGGAAGTATGACATCTAACGTTTGTGTCACTGGAATACTAAGAAGAGGAGAAAGCAGGCGGGCCTGAAATAGTACCTCAAGAAATAATGGCTGAATACTTCCCAAATTTGGCAAGAAACATAAACCTACAGATTTAAGAAGGCAGACTGAACTCCAAACATGATAAACCCAAAGAAATCCATGCCAAGAAACTTCATAATTAAACTTCTGAAAACTAAGGACAAAGAAAAGTCTAAAAAGAAGCCAGAGAAAAAATGGCATCTCACCTGTAGGGGAAGAACAATTAGAATGATAGCATACTTCACATCAGAAACAACGATGGGCAGAAGAAGTGGCACCATATTTTTCAGGTGCTGAAAGAAAAGAACTGTCAACCAAGAATTCTACAGCTAATAAAAATACTCTTCAGGGATAAAGGAGAAGAGACTATATTTTTAGACAGGAAGACAAAGTATTTGTTGCCTTCAGAGCTAGTCTAAATGTAGAGCTATAAATACCTAAGGGAAGTGATCAAAGACAAATTATTGGAACACAAGAAAGGAAGAAAGAACACAATAAGCAAAATATGGGTAAATATGCTAGGCTTTCCTCTTCCTCTTCAGTTTTCTAAATTTGTTTTACTGTTTCAACAAAAATTGTAACACTGTCTGATGTAGTTCCAAATGTATGTAGAGGTAACATTTAAGACAAATATATTATAAACAGGGTAAAGGGATGTGAAGGGATGTACAGTCCACACTTCACACAGACTGGTACAATGATGCCACCAGTAGACTGTGATAAGCTATGAATTTGTAATGTAATACCTGGAGCAACCACTAAAAAAGCTTTACAAAGAGATACTCAGAAGCTCCATAGATAAATCAAAATGGAATTCAAAAAATGATCAAGTAACCCACAGGAAGGCAGAAAAATAATCCATGAGACACAAAAGAATTCTCAAGGGAAAACAAAAAGAACACAGAACTGAACAAAAAAAGTATCAACATTTGTGAGACACAACTAAAGTAGTACTGGGAGGGAAATTTATAATACTAAACGCATGCATTAGAAAAGAAGAAACATCTTAAACCCAAAATCAAAATGCCCACCATAAGAACATAGAAAAAGCAGAGCAAAGCAAGCAGGAGGAAGAAAACAATAAAGAAAAAAGCAGAAATCCATGAAAATCAGTGAAATTAAAAACAAAAATAACAAAGAAAAATTAACAAAACAAAGAGCTACTTCTTTGAAAAATATCAATAACATTCATAAACTTCTAGCAAGACTGACAAAGAAAAAAGAGAGTAGACATAAATTACCAATTTCATTAAAATGAAACAGAGGATATGCTAAATACTCTGATATGATCATTGCACGCTGGATACATGTTCCAAATTTAACACGGTACTCCACAAATATATACAGTTATCATGGGTCAATAATGAAAAAATAAAAAGAAAAAATTTATTTTTAATGAAGACATCAAAAGGATAATAAGGGAATACTATGAAAGGACTCCACACATAAATTTTACAGTTTAGACAAAATGGACCAATTCCTCAAAATATACAAACGACCACGACTCACCCAATGTGAAACAGATAATATGAATAACTCTATAACAATTGTAAAGCTACACTACTACGCCAGTTGTCGAGTAAGGCAAATCATAACTAAAACCAAAATGTTTCATTATCTTAGTTGTACTAAGTTTCTGTTTGTATTGCCAGGGCTTGGGGTCAGACCTTTCAAA